ACAATATCTGCTCATAGCAACTAAAGTATGAATCAGCTTTTTAATGGTTCTGCAAAGGCACTCAATGAATTTGGTCAAGATCATGGTCTTGGTTCAATAATTGAAAAGTCAAGAGTCAGTCTTTCCCTTAGCATTTTTGTTAGCCAAAAATGGCCACAGTGCTGTGCTTTGCATTACTACCATTCACCCTGGCTTCAACCACACAGCTTGTGTGCAATACATATATAAAAGCTATATTACCCAAATGTAACTTGGAAACAAAACTGGTATTATATAAATGTAGGACACAGGAAGAGACAGGGTTCCTATCTGACTTATATGAGGAAGCTAGACAAATTAAAATTTAAATGCTACTAGCTAGCAAGATCTTTCAAATAGAAATGTATAAAAAGTGAAATGAAAAATTCAATTTTACATTGCAAAATATGGAAGTATGAAATCAAGACTTTACCAGGACTCTTGTGACACTGGTTTTGATACAGGTCTCACAGTGACACAGCCAGTATTTCTATACTTGGATCCTTGAGTGTTTTTATCTACTCTCTGGTAGAACCGACTAACCAACCTCCATCTTGTCTAGCCATCCTTCCTTCACCTCCCCTCCACCAGTCTGTCTGGCCTTCTCCTCTGGTGTCTCCATTATTGCTGCTGTGTTTCAGATTAGGACTTCTCCCTGTCCAGTATCATCTTCTTTCTTCAACTTGTTTACCCACAAGTGCAGATTTCTCTCTCTTCCTTGTTTGTATACCTTTGTTATCCTCTCACTCACCTCTCTCCTCCCTCTCCTCCCTCATGTCTGTACTTTATCTGCTGCTGTTCTCATTTGCCTCCCAGCACGGAACCTTCCTTGCTTTTCTTCAGTGTTGGACTTTGGACACTGGTATAAATGCCTCTGTTTCTACTCTTATTATATTATTAATAATATAAATACTGAAATCTGAATCTGGTTGATGATTATATCTGTATTTCCGTACATCAGTGTTATATAAATTAAAAAATAAGAGAAACTTACTAGTGATTGTGTGTGGAAATCTGAGGCTGCTGTTCTGCTCTTCTGATTAAAATCATGCTTCTTGTTTATGTTTTGGGTCAAACCAAGTTGTGGCTAAAATTTAAGAATACTACTTATATTAAAATCCTACAGCTAAAAGGACTTTTATTATTATTATTATTATTTTGACTGTAAAATACATGTGAATATTTAGACTATAACAATATCCTTTGATTTATCAATCAAATCAATTTATCTATTGTTTTCTCATTTATTTGCTCAGATGAAATCAATAAAACTTAAATTGGACTTTTATTTTTCTTAAACCTACTTTAAGCCTGGCTTGGCAGTTTATTTTCTTGAAGGTGGCATAATGTCTGACAGCAACCAGGAACATACACAGCCCCAGGTGTGTTAAAATGGTGGGCGGTGCTCAGCATACAGTATGTGTCTGGGTGTGTGTGTGTGTGTTTTATTGTCATCTCCTCCTTTTTCCATATCTCTGTCTTGATCTTAACTGAGTCACTTCTAGTTCTGTTGTTTTGTGGTGTTGTTATTGTTGTTGTTTGCTTGTTTCCATCTTTTTTCCCTCTAAATCCATTTAATATGTCTTGTTTCTCTGTGTCCTCTGTCCGTTTTTCTCCTGGTCTCTGTAAACTTTCCCTCTCATTGCATTTATTTATTTTTATTTTCTTTGATGCTTATCACCCTTCTCTCTCCACTCTGTTGGTTTTTAAGGTTTTGTGGTTTGTTTCTCTCCAGACTCTAATGAGCTCCAGGGGGAAAATTGGTGCTGGAATAACAACCAAATATCAACATCATCTCCTCTTTTCCTCCAGATCTCTCCTTCTTCTCATTTTCTTCTTCATCTGGTTTCATTTCTTCACTTTATATTTCATGTGCCTGCCACTTGATTCTCCTTTTTGACCTTCCTCTTTTATGAATCTTCTTCTCTCAGATTTCCATCTGTTGCCTATTGCTGACTTGCTGTCCTCTCCCCCTCTCCAGAGACTCATCTCAGTGGCACTTCCTTTTTTCTAAAATCCCATGTTTATTTAACATTCCTCTTTCTTATGTCACAAATTTTCTTCTTTCCTTTCCTTTTTAACTGCCAAATTAAATATTGGCTCAAATGACAAACATTTACTCTTAATTACACTGGAAAAAACTGGAGTCATCATAAATTTCCAGGAGTAACTTTCACAACTCTTTCTCTCTGCCTCTGTGTTTATGTTTGGTGCCTAGCGCTCTAGGTCACCACTGGTCTAGAGAAGAGCTTAAGTTGTAAATTATGAGGTCCCAGAATATCACTTGATAACAGACCTGGCATGTCAATGTGGCGAGAGGAGATAACGGAATGACAACATTTCGTCAATGACCGGTGCGTTTGCATGGTTTCCACATTAAGGAGCAGATTAGACGCAAAACATTAGTTGTTGTGTGTTTGTAGCAACAAAAAAATCACATAAGAAGACACGCATTTGCAAGTGCAAGTTATAAATGTCAATCGCAATTGATGCTCAATACATTAGGACTGCGAGGCTACAGTCTCTAATCCGTTCAGTCAATAACAAGCTTGACATCATATTTGGGGCCTTATTACTCCACTACACATTAACAATATATTCGGAGTATTAAAGCAACAAATTTAAAGCACACCAGAGACTATATAATGAAGTCACCTTACATAAACATGTTCTTACCTTCCATTATTTAAAGCAGCCCATGTGACAGGAGTCCTTTCTCATGTTATTCTGTGCTTTGCTTCAGTCAATTTGAAATCCATGATGTCAGCATCAGACTGGCTTGTACTAACCTTTTCATTAACAGCTGTAGGCTTTATAACTGGGCCCAGCTTGGCCTGTTTAGCTTCTAATTTCTGACTAATTTTTCCCTGCTGCAGCATGAAATACTTTAGCCAGTTAGCCAGTTTTTCATATTTTCACCCTGAGGCTAACATGACATTACACTGAATGTACCTGCACGAGCTGGTTACGTTGTGACGTAATTAGCCTAACTGCCTGTTTTTATTGTATTTAATTATTCACATTTTTGTTTAATATGCCCTAGCAAAAGGCTAGTTGTACAAAAACTATTAGACTTAGATTAGTATTAGATTTATTTATATATTGTTCATATATTCAATTAGTTTCAAATGGAAATGAGATGCTGAGTCAGTCAAAATAGGTGCTGGTCACAATTTGGGGAGTGCCGGATCCAGATCCAGCACAGATTAACCCTTTGTCCACAGACAGTAAGTCCTCCAAACATTCCAACCAAACAATATAAGTTGTTTACATAATGTCATCACATTAAAGTTTGCTTAGGTTCAGGCTACCACAGTGGCTTGGTTAAAGTAGAGAAATGTCATGTCTACACTATAAATATAAAGCTACAGCCATTAGCTTAGCTTAGCTTAGGTTAACTTATCATAAACACTGGAAACAGGAGGATACACCAAACCTACCAAGATGTTTAAATACAGGTACTTGTATCTCATTTAAATTGCTTGCCTTTTCCCTCCATCCAGGCTTGATTTTAAGCTAATCTAATGCCACAGCTGTACCCTTATATTTACTGGACAGGTGAGAGAGTTATCAGTTTGCCCGTTTACATTTTAGAGAGAAAGTGAAATTATGTAACAGGTAGTCCTGTCATTTTGCTGACAAAGAGTGTGTCTAGAGAACATAGTCGATTATAGTTGACTGTGTTGTACCCAGTACTTTTTACCAATGCTAACTCTGAAAGACGAGACAGTCCAAGTAACTTCAAAACAGTGCTGATTTATTCCATGAACACAGGTAAAAATTAACATTACACGCTCAGGTATCTTGCACCTCCAAACTGCTCGCAGGCAGATGTAAGATGAAAGACCCTGAACCCACCAGGCCTATACATTATATCCCTTCGGTTGGGCTAGTCCCATTCTACACAGAAACGTCAACCGAGACGTCTCTGTTGCCAGCTTTGCAGCTGGTCATAACAGTAGTCAAAACATGAAGCAAATCAATGTGTGTGTGTGTCTGTTGATTAAGTGGTGTGTA